GGCTGGGACGAATCCAGGCAGACGCTCTGAACAGGGCGGGTACTGAACTTCGGGTAAAAATCCCGCATTGGCCAAAACGCTCCTGGACTCTTTCGGGAACCCGCGGAAAGGTGGCTTGCGACTCCCGCTTGCTCCTCCGGCCCCTCAGCTCATCCTTAGACCCCAGCTCAGGGCACCCAGATCGACCTGCGAGGACACCGGGGGGGGGGGTTCCCCAGACACCTGGAATACCAGGTGCCCAGCGAGCAAGGGGACCCGCCGCGCTGGTCCGGTACGAGAGCGGCCAGGGGCGCACAGGAGGGCGAACTCGGACCTCGGGTACTCCCTGCCCTCTTCCTCCCCACCTGGAGTCAGCGGTGAGTCCCCGAGGTCGCACCAGCTGGGACAGAGAGGGAATCTGCCGGCGTCAGGGCCGGGCCTCGGCTTCAGAATCCGCATCCCGCGAAAAAAACACGATCCTTTCCCGGGGCGCCCCTCATTCCAGCGCCGCGGCTCGGCCGGGGCACAGCGCGAAGTTTGTTCAGCTTCGGAACCGAGCGCGAGCGGCCCGGGCCGCGCGGGTGGTGGTGGTGGTGGCCGCGCGCGGGTCCGAAGCGTATTGGGGGGAAAGAGACACAGAGTCCTCAGTCCCAGAAGCGAGGGTCCTGCTGGAGCCCCCGGGAACCCCTTCTCGGACGAGATCAGGTCCCCTGCTGCCCTCTGTGCCCCCCGCTACGTGGTGGGGCGCGAGGTTTCCCCAGATGGGGCGCGCAGAGCCGCCTGGGTCGGTCCCCACCCTCGCGCCCGAGCGAACGAAAACCACTGGGCCGTTTCCAGGCGCTCCAAGTCCCCAAGAAGTTTTCCGCTCCGTGTCGGCTCTGAGCGCGGGGCGAGAGCAGAGGCTGAACGCTCTCCGCGCGGCCGGGCTCGATCTCAACCCCAGTTCTCTTCTCACCCGGCGACAAGCGGGTGGCACTGCGGTTCCGCCCCCCCTCCCCCGTCCCCGTCCCCGGCGTGTCTCGGGGAGTCCCGCAAATCGGAGCGGGGCGCCCACTTCCTCACTTCCCTTCCCGGCTCGGGAAAGTCCGGGCTGGGACGCACTCTTTGTCTGACTCGGGGCGGGGGGGGGGTCGCGCCCCCTACACCCCGTTCCCGGTGGCCAGGCCGGGAGGGGCGGAGCCCGAGTCCCGGCGAGGGCGGGCTCGGGTGGCCTCTCCAGCACCCCCGACCTCGCGCTGCCCCCCCGCGGCCCCCACCT